GGACTTTGTGTCATTGTTTTAAATGTTACTCTAGGACCTTGTATCATTGATTTGTAAGTTACTTTAGGACTTTGTATCATTGTTTTAAATGTTACTCTAGGACCTTGTATCATTTATTTGTAAGTTTTTGTATCAATATTTTGTGTTCAGGATTAAAGTTACATGTCATTTTGTGTGTTTCTTTTTACCATAAAATTTTCAGAAGATTTCAACAAAAAATGTTTGTGAAAGTAATAAACTACAAAGGAATTTTAAAGAATTAATGTAAGACATTTTCTTTTATTTAATTGGTTTAGTTGAAACCTAAAAACAACTAATTCATTGTCACAGGCATGCCCAAACTAACACGAGAGATTGGTAGAGGTCAGTTTGGGGTTGTTTACTCGTGTGAAGGATGGGGAGGTTTCACCCCCTGTGCTGTGAAGTCAGTCGTTCCTCCCGATGATAAGCAATGGAATGATCTAGCCATGGAGTTTTTCTATACACGGTAGGCTCATTGTACTTTGTATTAAGTGAACATAGTCTAATGTTCAGTTGCTTAGATAGATTAATTAGAAAAAACCTGTATAATAATAAATAACAATGAAAAGGGTACTAAGAAAATTACAGTGTTAAGAACATTTGTTTAAGCTTGGGAACTGACTATATTGTCTAAGTCATTTCTATTTCATAAAATACACATTGGTATTCCTAAGTCTGTCTACACTTGTCTACTAACGGTTTGTCTACACTTGTGTAGGTCTGGTGATACAGCTACTAACAGTCTGTCTACATTTGTCTAGGTCTGGTGATAAAAACTACTAACAGTCTGACTACACTTGTGTAAGTCTGGTGATACAGCTAATAAATGGCTGTCTACACTTGTGTAGGTCTGGTAATACAGCTACTAACAGTCTGACTACACTTGTGTAGGTCTGGTAATACAATTACTAACAGTCTGTCTACACTTGTCTAGGTCTGGTGATAAAACTACTAACAGTCTGTCTACACTTGTGTAAGTCTGGTGATAAAACTACTAACAGTCTGTCTACACTTGTGTAAGTCTGGTGATACAGCTACTAATAGTCTGTCTACACTTGTGTAGGTCTGGTGATACAGCTACTAACAGTCTGTCTACACTTGTCTAGGTCTAGTGATAAAGCTACTAACAGTCTGTCTATACTTGACTAGTCTAGTGATATAGCTACTAACAGTCTGTCTATACTTGACTAGTCTAGTGATAAAGCTACTAACAGTCTGTCTATACTTGACTAGTCTAGTGATAAAGCTACTAACAGTCTGTCTATACTTGACTAGTCTGGTGATAAAGCTACTAACAGTCTGTCTATACTTGACTAGTCTAGTGATATAGCTACTAACAGTCTGTCTACACTTGACTAGTCTAGTGATAAAGCTACTAACAGTCTGTCTATACTTGACTAGTCTAGTGATATAGCTACTAACAGTCTGTCTACACTTGACTAGTCTAGTGATAAAGCTACTAACAGTCTGTCTATACTTAACTTGTCTGGTGACATAGCTGCTAACATATTCTCACTTCACTTTTTTTGAGAAAGATAAGATTTCAGATTTCTTGCTTTGACAGAAGTATACCAGATCATGAGAGGGTTGTACAAATTAAAGGGTCAGTCATCGATCATTCCTATGGTGATGGACACACTCCAGCCGTCCTGTTGATAATGAAACGACTTCAGCGTGATCTGTATTCAGCACTGAAGTCAGGTTTAGATATTGTTACTAGATTGCAGGTAATCAACTGTATTATTTGTAAGGTTGAAGTGTTTCGATGTTTATTAGAAAGGTCTAGATAAAAGGTGAAAACTATTCTGAGCAAAGATTAGGCTATCTGCAAATCTTCAATGTTAATTGATTTTGAGGTAATACATAAAACTTATTTGGATAACATTCTCCATCCAGTTCTACTATGGAATGTAACCGTTATGAGTGAATACATTTCACATTTCAATCTGACAGGCGTTTTATAGTAGGCTTAAGTTACTGGTAAAGGTTTCTATTAATATCAGTTGTCTGAACAGATAAAATTGTAATTTTACAATATCCATAACAATGAAACTAACTTTTTAAAACAATAGTTTTTATTGTTAACAGTAGAAAAGTCACACACAGGGTTTCAAAGAAAAAAATACTTTTTACAGTAACTGTATGTCTATTACAGTTGGTCTTTTTTTTTCAGATTGCCATTGATGCTGTGGAAGGGATCAGGTTTCTCCATAGTCAAGGACTCATTCATAGAGACATCAAGTTAAAGAATGTACTGGTAGGCTCAGCAGCTGCTTGTGTTTGGAAGTTATTATTTATACCTTTATTCATACCTTTAATATCTGAGCTAATGAAGCAGTAGTAAGTGGTTGTACACAGGCTCGTACTCAGAGTGTTTCAAAAAAGTGGTTCTAATTTGTGAGATCAGAAGCCAACACATATTGTGTGAAGCACAAGCAGCATGCAAAGCATACTAATGCTATGGGGGTATGTCCCCCAGAAAATTTGTAAAGAAAAAAAAAAAGGTTCTATGAAATTAAATCTGGAAACAATTTTGCATGAAATATAGCTTAAATAAATGCATGGCTGTTCACGTAAAATCCACAAACATCCAATCAAAAGTCAACAAATCATCAAACTGCTATAACACTACATGGGGAGCTAGACTTAAATTGGCATAAATATGTATGTTTTACTATAGTAAAGTACTGTACTATTTACATACAGAGTAGTTATTAATTGTTAAATTATATTACTAATTTAAACAACTCTGTACATCAATAGTATAGTAGCTATTTCAATCATTGGCTATCATATACATATATGTAATCACTACTGAAATAACATGTTAGCATGCTCATTTTAGGTGCCATTCCATAAATAACTTACATACAGTTTCAATGTTGATAGCAGTGTCATAATGATTATGTATTAATATCTAGTATTGCATGGAATGTTCTAGACTTCTGTTCGGGTATAAATGCACTTCGAAAGATTATTATTATTTAGATCTATACTGTGTGATTGTGAGTTTACAAATAAAGAGCATATAGTAGTGGTGATTTTTAAAGTGAAATTATCCCAGACTGTATTGTAATAACAGAGCAGAAAAGAATAATTTGCCTTGTCAGTTGTATTCTGAAATAATTGAACCAGCCTCTATGGACTTTAACAAAAAAAAAGATTCAATTACTTAAAGCTCTGGATACAAATGTGATAACCAAAAGCCTAACAAACATTTGTATATACATTGGACTTGTTTTAATATATTATTTTAAAACAAGTGGACTGTGTTGCTATTTGTTTATTGTTGAAATTTATTGCCAACAAGTCGCAGACACCTACTATAAAAAATCCGGCCTACAAAACCCGACAGTAGCAATATGGCTTCAGGCTTCCAATTACAAAGTGTTAACAGAAGCCATTGCATGTGACGATTTCAAGCCAAACCGTGCCAGTGCTTCATCATAAAAATGTAGACTCTGTAGAAAATGTTAAATACCATAAGTAGTTGTGCTATAACAATAAAAGCATAATTTGTTTACATCATAAAAATAGTGACCCCCCCCCCTGCATGGTGCATTTAGTACTATGAACACTGAAGCAGTATTAACTTTTAATGCATGAGAAATTAAAAGCAAACAATATAACATTTGTAAAACATCAGTTTACTCACAAATATTTATTGAAGGTTGACTTAATGTTAAAGTTTCTTATTCTTTTTGCGATCATGGTTTAGTACAGTAGACATAAATATATTAAGATTCTTGTTCTATTGATGTACATGGTTTAGTACAATAGATGTTAGCATATAAAGATTATTGTTCTATTGATGTACATGGTTTAGTACAATAGATGTTAGCATATAAAGATTCTTGTTCTATTGGTGTACATGGTTTAGTACAATAGATGTTAGCATATAAAGATTATTGTTCTATTGATGTACATGGTTTAGTACAATAGATGTTAGCATATAAAGATTCTTGTTCTATTGGTGTACATGGTTTAGTACAATAGATGTTAGCATATAAAGATTCTTGTTCTATTGGTGTACATGGTTTAGTACAATAGATGTTAGTGTATAAAGATTCTTGTTCTATTGGTGTACATGGTTTAGTACAATAGATGTTA